GGGTTGTTTGATGTGTAGATATTTGGTGGTGGGGTTTAGGATGATCTGACTTTTTGGGAATATGGGGGATGAGGGTATGGATAGATGGTATGTACTGTGCTGTATATATAGAGGGATTTTATCTCCTGAGCGGGCTGGTTAGATAATAGTAGCTTTCTAAGGCCCCGGCTGTCGGCCGGTACCTACACGATAAACCAACATGGTTTGTATGGGCAAATACGGGAAAGCCAAGTCCATTGTCACATGCTGCCATATCGTAGTCGGCTTTTTGATGCTTTTGTTTTGGGGTGTTGGCTGGTGGTCGATAGGGTCGATGGATAGATCTACGTAGGAATATATATCGTGCCATATCGACTCTGTACCAACCATACAGCAGCGAATGAGCCAACATGTTAACAGCGCAATGGTATCCCCTCATCCATTTTTTTTTCACCAATTAGTGTGGTTTCATTAGTGTATATTATATGAGAATCTACTGGGTAAACCATGTATTTTTAGGTATTAATTGGTATTAGCATATTATATAGAACTCTAATTTGGGATTGGCACCTGGGCACTCTCAGCACTCTGAGTGCTACCCATAGTGTGGCAGATCTGATGGAATTCATCCCAACATCACATTTTTAAATATAGAGGGGTATTTTTATATGTAGAATAACTGTAATATGTTTATAGAACCTACTGATTTTCCATCTGGCCTATTTTCTTTTTGTACTAATACTAGGTGTAGCTTGATCATTTTGGCAGGGAAATCTATTGATGGTTGATATCAGGGTTTAATTGTTGAGGTAAAAGATTATTATGAATCTCTAGTAGGAAGTCAAATAACTACTAATATAGTTTCTCATGGAATGCCAACTAATTTAAGAGTAATTCACCTCTCTACTTTCTATACAGGTAATAGATTTAATAGGTGTTGATGATTGTAGTATCAATTAACTAGTAGAAAATGAGCAGCCAGTTCTGATAAGTAATACAATGCATAGTATATACTATCTGATACTAATTTACTAGGTCCACTCTATTTATATAATGATTATAATTATCTATAAAGACTGGAATCTTCAACTCTCTCTGTAGATCTACATTAAATACTTGCCTAACTACTCTTATATTAGTAGATGTCTCTACTGAGCATTTCTGAGTTCAAAGGATATAACTGTCTGGTTGATGAACTGTAGATAGTGCAAGAATCATATTATTATCTTGTCAGGTAAGATAGAGAATGTCTTCTTGTCTAAGAGTAAATAAAGAACTCCAATTAATATTTCTGATGTGGTTGTAGAGCTCTATAAGGATAGATGGAGCTTGCCCTGGATGAGTAATTCTATAGGCATTAAACCTCATTTTTTGTAGTTCTTAGAAGAGAGGAATAGATATAAAGTAATTATCCATATAAATTATATATAGAGCTACTAAAAATTTGGTTGGTATTTCTGTTGTGGTGGAATCAGATGTTATGGAAGATGTAGTAGTAGAAGATATAATAGGTATAAGTATAGTAAGTACTGATAGTATTAAATTAGTTAGAGCTTTAGTAGGGAGTAAATATTGTTCTGGCTTTATCTCATTACTGATTGATTAAATAGTGCTGGATAAATCATTCTCTGACTCCAGCTAAGGCTTGGCCTGATTAGGTGGAGTTGATTGAGGAAGAGAGTTAATTAGATGTAACACTATAAATATTATTTTTATAAGTAAAGAGAATTGAAATATAGGCATTATGTTCTGATAATAACTGGACTAGAAGAATGAATAGATATAGCTGTATTCTACTAGAGTAAATATCTTATATCTTCAGGAAATCAGTTTATTAGGCATCTTGTATGTATGTTGACTCTGCTCAAAATATTTAATTATTATCTCATTGATTAACATCTGGGAACCCAGTATGTAGTATTTTTAGCATGTTATAGAGAATTTAGTGGTGAGTGGCTCTACTTTATATCACTAGTTATTATGCTAACAAGCTTTGGGTTGCTGAGCTTCATGGGGGTTAAATATATAAATATACCATTTAAGCTGTTCAAACTGTGCACATGTCATATAGGATTATATAGAATGAATGGGGTCTTTCTTCAAGTCATTCTATTAGTATAGATCAGTCTGACTGGTTTTATGAGTTCCCATATAGATAAGCATCTCAATAAATAGCTTGATCTCAGCTGGGCAGGTCTTCTTTCATTATCAGAAGTAAATAGATGACTTTAAATGTTCATTCTCTCCTATAGATGTAGTAGTTTAACCATCATTTGATTCTAATATTTTTAATGCTAGGGGTTCTTCATTGTTGGATTCTGCTCCTGAAAGCTCTGAAGCTTCATTATTAGTATCTTCATTATCTCTCTTTAGTTTTGCATAGATATTTGTGGAATCACTAATGATTTTAAAGTATTTCTCTGAGAAAAACAGTGTAAATAGAGCATATGAATCTTCAGGATTGATATCAGGGGATAGATGAATTGCTGGCTCACACATAATTTAATAGAAAGAAGTAAAATCTTCTACAGGATGAATCTTATGGATGATCTAGAACACCCTTTACTTTTATTTTGTGCCTGTTTTTTACTTATCTAGATAATTGATTTGTTAGTGGCTGCATTCCTTTTAATTAGAATGAAGAAATACCATTGGAATTCATAATTTTCTCCATATATTAATCTTGTATGTTACATTGAATGTGGATGTTTAAACTAAAAGTAGATTTCTCATAAGGCCTTTAGTGTAGTTTAGTGGCATAGTCCTGCAGCACATTTTATGGTTACTCAGTAAGGAATGTAAATCAGTGGGTCATACTGGCCAATAATCTATCATATAATTTTATATGTAATTCTATTGGTTTAAATGGCATGCCAGTGCTTTTTTCCATACCACTAACCATACTGTGCTAATTGGTGAAGAAAAAATGGATGAGGGGATAGACATTTCATATAATTGAAAAGCCATGTCATGCTGTATAAACATCTCCCTTCCATACTACATACATAGCAGATCATCTCTACGGTTCCGTCGAGGGGAAATTGGCTACCCTTGAGCCTAGGACATAAAATGTTTTCACCGGCGACGGCCCACATAATCCCAATCCTCGATGGTCTAGTGGTGATGATTTCCGCTTGTCATTCGTGAGAAGCGCGGGAGACCAGGGTTCGATTCCCTGTCGGGGAGATTTTTTTGTCTTTTTTCCTGTTTTTTTTTTCACAGTTGTTTTGGAATATCTGAGCAGCGTTTAGCAGTTTACGTATGTATGTAGGCTACGTGCAGATGTTCCCCCCCTATCTTAGATGGGAAAGCAATAAACGCCCCATCAAAGCAACTATTGTTGCTTGTTCGCAGCTCCAACAGGGCTGGCGGAGCGGGAAAACCATGACACCGCCACATCATCCATCCTCTTCCTGAACTCCACCCCAACCATGTCATACCCATATCTCCAACAATACCGTCCTTTACTAGCAGATTCTTCACTGCCATGCACAGCAAAAAGATAAACAATAGCAGACACACCATTAGGCGATCTGGATGACACCTATATGTCATGAATTCCTATAGACCTTTGGTTATGCTCTCCAATGCATCGTCCGGGGTACTCAGCATTTCGCTTTGGGTAATTCACCCATCCTCTCACTTTTTTCTCCATCTGTGTCTCTTGAGGAAGATGTAACTCTTTCCCACCGGGTTGCCTTGTTCTGCTTTTGTATCAGCATCATTTAACCAGTTCCCCTTACGGAAGAAGGGAGGGTGAGTTAGTTTCATATCGACAGCATCGATCACAACAAGGCGTCCGTAACATCCATGACCCCGAAGCCCCCCGTAAGCAACAGGGCAATGCGATCTTGTCTGCCAATGATGGAATATCTAAGCGCCGTATCCTCGTCCCTACCTGTTCGAACCCGCTTGCCTATTCTACCCCGTTAAACCACTCATCGGCAAGAATTTCCTTTGCACCTGGCCTATCCCTGGGATCGATCTTCATGATCCTCAAAACAAATTCCCTGTCCTCGGGCGAAATTTCGCGGCGACTTGCTAAACGCAAGGGTTTCAATTGATCAGCTGGCACAGAAGCCATGATATATCTTAGAATTGCCAATGTTTCCTTATCAGCAAGGTCAGAGTATGAAAGGGGGTAGGGCCCGAAGAAGATGTGGTATCTGGCAAGGATCTCGAGTTCATATTCATCGTGGCCCCGAGGAACTTTGGGTTTGAATATGAAGAAATTGTCGCCCCAGATCATAGATATAACCTTTATTAATAAATAATCAACATCAGGCTTTGTTAGAAGAAAGAAATAAGCCAGAGGTTTGAATAACTACCATTGTTCCGAAGGACCAAATGTCGGTTGGTGGGCCCCATTGCAATCCCAGTTGCGCCTCTGGGCTCCGCCAGATCGGAGTACCAATCCCGTCATGGTCCTGACAGTAACGAGAGGAAATATGGACAGTACTCTCCATGTCAGTAAGCTGAATGTCGGTGAAACGTTGGCCATCCCCGCCCTGAGGTGAGGGGGCAAAGTTAACAAGGACATTGTCCATTTTGACATCTGTAGAATTCATCATGTTAGAATCTGGGGCTCTCTTCGCGCACAAGTTGATACGAGGGGAAAAATAAAAATCCTAACCAGTGTGCACGTAGCCATTTTCGTGCAATAACTCCAAGGCCATCAGGACTCGTTTCGATACATATTTGATCTCCTTTGTAGTTAGCTTTTTGTTATTGGAACTGGTGAGCAAGTCATTTTTTAGATGCTTTATGATGATAGCTGGTGGTTCAACAGGCTCGACTATTTCGTCGACCAAGGGACGTAGGTATGGTGTTCTGGTCTGGAACTTGGTGAGAACATCTCTCTCGTTGGTGATGATGATGGGAGGCCGATGGAAAAACAATATCCCGGGCGCGAAGGGGCGAATATCATTCTCTCTTCTCAACGGCAACTACAAGCAGCATTCTCCAGAGAAACGAGATAGATGTAGGAAGCCAAAAAAAAAAAGAAAAACAAAAAAGAAATTCTCCTCGACAGGGAGTCGAACCCTGGTCTCCCGCGCTTCTCAGGTTGCAGTGATGCAGTGACAAGCGGAAATCATAACCGTTAGACCATCGGGGAGACGGTGGATGCTGATTGGCCAGCCGTCAGAATTCACATCCATAGATATTTGACGGGCAGTTCCTCCCCACGCCAAGCCACTTGATTGTGTCCAAGTTTCAGGATCCACTGAAGTGATACGATCCCAGACAAGGTTGCATTTGGGTAGTTCAAGAAACGGCTGTAATGTACTAATGTGTCTATCAAGAGGCTTGACTAATATTTGCATCTGGATGTATCTACATAACGACAATCCCCAGTCCCGTCATGTCATTCCAAGCCGTAAGTTAACCTTGGAAGGTGTTAAGGTTAAGGTTAGAGTTTGCAGTCACCTGACTCAGGCACAAACTGCTGCTGGCCAATCAAGCGGGCGATAGTGCATGCTTGGCGGGACTCGGCTAGGCCCGATCCAGGTTAATCCCGGGCCGCCGGCCTGTCATATCGCGCGCTAGAGCCGCCGCTAGACCGCAAGCAGACTGGCGCCGTTTCAGCTCCCACTCGCCACACACAGCGGCCACACACGGCAGCCAATCAGCGGGGTGTCTGGGGCAGCCGCCTCTCCTGTCTCTCCCTCCTCCTCTCTTGTCTGCGGAGATGCGGCTTCTTCTTCTTCTTCTTCTTCTTCTTCTTCTTCTCTGTCACTGCTGCCATCGTCTCTCTCTTCCCCCCGCGGCGGGGTGTCTGTCTGTCTGTCTGTCTGTCTTTCTCGTCTCTGCTCTGCCGCTGTCTCTCCTTTATCTGCGCCTGTAGCCAGTCCACTCTTTACTGCCTGCCATGGCGTCCTTTTCGGCCATGTCCGCTCTCTCGTTCTTGACCCTGTTCGCCCTCCTCCTCTCCTCCGCCACAGCCCAGACTTTCACCGCCTGCAATCCCACCGAGCGCGACGACTGCCCCAATAACCCCGCCCTGGGCACCAACTACACCCTCGAGTTCAACACCGACAGGCTCAACGACAAGATCTGGAACATCACCAATGGCAACATCGACTATCTCGACGACCGCGGCCTCTTCACCATCGCTGAGCGCCTCCAGTCCCCCACCGTCCAGTCGCACTTCTACATCTTCTTCGGCAAGCTGGAGGTCGAGATGAAGCCCTCCCCCGGCCAAGGCGTGGTCAGCAGTATCGTCCTTCAGTCTGAGGATCTCGACGAGGTTGACTGGGAGTGGGTGGGCAACGATATGACCCATGTCCAGACCAACTACTTCGGCAAGGGCAACAGAACCATGGGCGATCGCGGCGGTATGCACGAGATGGATGCTCCCATGGAGAAGTACCACAATTACACCCTCGACTGGACCGCTGAACGCCTCATTTGGCTCATTGATGGCAAGGAACTTCGCACCCTGACCTACGACGAAGCCCTGGGTGGCAAAAACTACCCCCAAACCCCCATGACCGTCAGACTGGGTATCTGGCCCGGCGGTGATCCGGATAAGAATGAAAAGGGCACCGTCGAGTGGGCTGGTGGGGAGATCGACTACCATGGAGTCCCCTACACGATGGGTGTGAAGAGGATCTCGGTCGAAGACTACTCCTCTGGCAAGGAGTATATATGGTCCGATAGATCGGGTAGCTGGCAAAGCATCAAAGCTGTCAGGTACGTTTTTACCCTTCCAATTGATCGTCCGCCTGCAATATGCTAATCCCACCACACAGCGGAAACTCCACTATTGCCGACGAAGTCCACAAGCCGCCCAGGAAGTCGATAGCCCAGAAATGGAGGGAACTGCCTCAAACTACTAAGATCGCCATCATTGCATCCGCCGGTGGAGTTGTGGCCATCGCCCTCGTCATCCTCGCCTTCTGCTGCATCAAACAGCGCAGAGCCGGCCGCAAGGAACACAACATCGAAGAAAGCCGTTTCACCACCGAACAAAACGACATGATCACGATGCAATCGCAATGGAAGTCTCAAAGATACCAGCATCTCCGGTAGTATTGTAGACCTAGGCAGTATTTCCCCATCTTTTTCCATCTCCATTTCCATTTGGTGTTTTTCTTGTTTTCACGGGCCTATTATGTATCCACACATACATAACGCACAACTAGGGCAGCGGGACAGTGGGATTTAGAAATGAACGTAACAGGGTTCTTACCGTCCGTTTCTCCCAGTCATCATCATCATCATCATCTATCTCAAGACTTGCAATATGTATGTCTCGCTTGGGCCGGTTCCTAGCGCGCTTTTGTTGCAATATTATACACACCTATCTATCTATACCCACTACGCAATGCATTCTTTCTCCCTTTTCCATCTCGGCTCCATCCAAACTCTGTCTGGTTTCTTTCGTTTCGTGTTGATTTATGATCTTGTTTTCTCCAACCTCTCCAGCTCGTGCTTAGTTAGGCATCTTGTTCTGCAACCTCCCCAGTCGCCGTCCCCGTCCCATCCCCATGCTTCTCCTGTCTATTTTCTTTCCCCCCCTTAAAACCTAAGCTCAAGCTCAACCCCAATCTCCTCCCAGCTCACACACCAGCCTAACTTTTCCCTTTTCATTATCTGTTTCTCTTTTCTTTTCATTTTCCTCTATCATAATCATTTCTTCCTTCCTTGTTATGTTACGTTACCCTCTCTCACTACCCATCCACCCGCCCCACCTGCCTGCTTGTGTATACGATAACGAGATTATTTCGATGCCTCCGATTCCTCTTTTTCTTTTTTTCTTTTTTTTTTTTCCGTCTCTATCTGTCTATCTATCTAGGCCGAGTTGAAATTAAAGTAAAGTGCAGTTATCTGTTTATGTTTATATCTGCTGCCTACTGTACCTACCTGCCCACCTCGACGACACTTCTCATGCCATCCCATGTACTTACTCCCATGCCATGGCCGTAATCTTATTGACTAGGATAGGTTGATAGGTATGTATGTATCAATTCCCGCCCTTCACTGATTACATAATACTCATCCCTGTATATGCATCTGTTACGCTTGCTCCCTTTTATAATATATATAAATGAATAGGAGATTGCCGGTTTGGATCTTTAGTATATACATACTATACTACTGTAATGCTGTCTGTTCAAGCGGGTTACTGGGTGTTAAAGCCCGTGTTAAGATGATAATAGGTGGATGGAGAGGGGGGGGGAGGGAGGAGAGGTAGTTAAGTGATTAGGAAGAAAGAAAGAAAGAAAGAAAGAAAGAGAGGAGGGATGAGAGATGGGTGGATGTGAGGTATAGATACCTGTATCTGCTACCGTGGACTGCTGTTAGGTGGGGATATGGATCTGAGTATGGCGTGTTGCCCAGTGGGGGTGGGGGGACCGCGGACTGGAACTGTGAAGCTGGGAACCGGGCGGATGGGTGATGGGTGATGGGTGATGGGTGATCGGTGACGTTATGGCCGGCAATCTCCGGAAGACGCACGTACGTGGGTTTCTCGTTATCTGGGGCGGACACGAGGGGGGTGTAGGGGGGGTTAAGTAGGTAGGGAGGTAGGGAGGGGGGGAGGGGGGCGGGAAGACGCGGGTGGAGCAGAGGATGGGTGGGGGGCGTGGTTGGATGCGTTCATACATAATGTTCTTTTTGGAAATGGGTAGGTAGGTAGGAAAATGGGTGAGACTGTTCTGTGGGAGGTAGAGATGGGATCATATTTTATTATATATAGACTCAAAATTGGCTGCTGGCTCTCATTATTGGTTCTTGGGGGATGGGGTGCTCGTGGTGTCTTCATATTTATTATTCAACAATCCAACGGATAAACAAACCCTGCCGTACCTACTTTATATTAACTGGGGCGGCCTGCAGAGTGACTTGCATGACAGGTGAGGCTCCGATGTTAGCGTATATACACACACCCCCTGGAACCCGGAGATTCTGATATGTATGTGCCGATTTCGATTATGGATTTGCCATATTCACGTGCCTTTTTTTCTTTTGCTTCCTTTTGTATATTGTAACTATAGAGGTTCAAAACGAGCGCCAAGATTCCTTTTTAGTTCTTATACGGATTCTCATACTCGGACTTCATACGAGTCCCCCGGGGGAGTAGAGGGAGAAGGGGGGGGGATTCAACATCTGTCCCGGTCCCCCTGAGCTCCGATTCGCTGCATATGCAGCTCCTCTTCATGATGGGCCTCATTTCCCCTTATTCTATTCATTAGATGCTTGGATCAAACAGTGGCGTTCCGAGTCTGCGCTGCCTGTGGAGATGCGGCCGAGAGCTGTCGTGTTTCTCTACCGCTAGAGGACATACGAATTGCTCGCACGAGATTCGAAAGCGAGATTTGATTTGCGAGGATGGTGATGATTGACTGTGGTGGCGGTCGACGGTGATGTCTGAAATCCAAAGGAGATACGAGGTCCCGGGAAGGGGCAATATGTTGGGCTCGTATGGGGGAAATTGGGGTATAAAAGGGCTAGATTGATCCTGCTTCAATTGGAGTTTTCTTCTTCATCAACGTTGACCAAAAAAATTTCAATCACAGAGATCGGAATAGATTTTTCTCCTTTCCTGCTCCTTTTCATTTTTTTTGAAAGAATCACTCTCCTTTCTCCTTTTCCATTGCATGCCCACCCACCATGCCCCCGGAAACCGTCATCTCCAGCCCGCCCCTGAAAAGGGGCATCCTCACCAACAGGAAGATCCTCGGGCTAATCCGCCTGGCCGTCTTCGCGCTAATCGTCTGCTACCACCACGCCGTCGTCCAGCCCGTCGACGCCATCAAATTCGTTAGCCGCAAAGACTGGGGTGCCAAAGCGCCTAAATCCTCCACCCCTGTCGTTGGGAATCCCAAAGGCGTAAAGATCCACTACACGGGGGGACACATGAGCAAAGGCGGCCACGCCAACTGCGCGGCCAAGATGCGCCAGATCCAGCTTGACCACCAAAACAACAAGGACGAGGGCTGGGGCGATATCGCGTATAACCTGGGCGTCTGCCAGCATGGTTACGTCTTCGAGGGACGTGGGTGGAAGCTCCGTTCCGGCGCAAATGGCAACAAGCAGTTGAATATCAATCACCAGGCTGTCATTGCCCTCGTGGGGAGCTCCGGGGACACGGAGCCTTCCAGCGCCATGGTC